TCTAACAGCACCTTATCAGTGAAATTTCTGTGAGAGGACCCAGAGCATAGCTTCTTAAATGTTGCTTTTTCATCTTTCTCACAAACCAGCATAATTTATAAGATCTGTAGAAATTCATTCCAGGGACCCTTTAAAGAGTTATTCCTATTTCTGATTTCTGTTTCCTCTATTCTTTTAAGCATTGAAATCTCGTAGTTATCTACCCTCTAAAGCGAATCATACTCTGATCCGCACAGTAATGGCAATGTTATTACTTCGACTCTGCTGGTTTAGAATGTGTTCTTTTAAAAAGTTATTTCCAACTGGTCCTTGCATCATGCTCCTACCTGTATACTTCAGTCACATCCTTTTCAGTACAACCTCCAAATTTTGAAGACAGCCCAAGTGGTTTGGGGAAACCAAGAACATCTGTGGTATCACTTGGCCCAGCCATTGCTGTCTTAATAGCAAAAACATCTGTTGCCTCTCATTTCTTTTCTCTCCCCTTTTCTTTCTCCTCTCTTGTTCCATCCCATTCCATTCTTCTTTCTCCCTTCCCTTTGCCTCCTCCCTCTTTATGTATATTTTATTACATATGATTATATATACATATATATATAAAGACTTTCTGTCTCCATTTATCTTTTTTTCTTCTATGTTTCCCCTGTAGCAGTAATCAAACTGGGAAAATAATAAAAAGAATTTGCCATGAATCTGTCTAAAATAATGGAAGTAGGCTGGGCACAGTGGCTCACACCTGTAATCCCAGCACTTTGGGAGGTCGAGGTGGGCAGATAACCTGAGGTCAGGAGTTTGTGGCCAACATGGTGAAACCCCATCTCTACTAAAAATATAAAAACTTGCCAGGTGTGGTGGCAGCACCTGTAGTCCCAGTTACTCGAGAGGCTGAGGTAGGAGAATTGCTTGAACCCGGGAGGTGGAGGTTGCAGTGAGCTGAGATCAAGCAATTGCACTCCAGCCTGGGTGATAGAGCGAGACTCTTCAAAAATGAGTAAGTAAATACATAAAATAATGGAAGTAATATTTCTCTCCTAATTCCACTGAATTATAAATTTTGTTTATATTATTCCTGGCCAGTGCTTAGGGTATGAGGAATTAATTGTAACTAGCCAAATATTGTATAGAGACTACATACTAGCATGGTCTATTCCTTATGTGACCTGTTCTCCAGATGTCAGCCTGTTTGTTTGTTTTTTTGTTTTGTTTTTTTTTTACTTTTTGCTACCAGCCCATGTAAGTCTCCTGTTTCTAAATCTTTACTTCCTTCCAGAATCTAACCAGATTTTATCAGCTTCATGAAGAACTGGTTCTTTCATTAGGTTTTTTGATGATAAATATACTGTATGGGATGAGAATGGCCATCCATGAATTCCTGGAGGGCAGGAACTATTCCTTATTCATCTTTATTCTCCTAGTCCAGCGTGGTACCTGGCACAAGGCGCTTAGTCAGTATTTTCAGGCAAAGAAATTGGTGGATCTTATTCTGAACTTTGTAACGGACATATGCAACAAACTGATCTTTGTGAAAATACAACTTTTGTGATATCAATTTGCCTTTCCCAAAACAAAGCCTTGCTTACATAACAGAAACACTTTGTAGCAACTTTATGAATTCCGTCAATTCTGGAATGAGCTTCCAATGGGGAACTCTATCCTTTTATTCTCCTTGATATCAAATGGTGCTATCATATTTGTATCATAAAACTTGTTAAATTATCCTGTGGGTTTAAAGCAAGGAGACAATTCATTTTTTTAAAGATTTTTCTCTTTTTAACACCTATCTCTTACACAGAAAGACAACTGATTTTTTTATGATAAAATGAGCCCTTGAAAAAAAAAACGCACACATCCTTCTAATGTATTTCTGTATACCTAGAAAAAACTATACATGTGGTTTTAAAAAAATCAATGATAACTCCTCTGGTCTATAAGAGTATGGTTTGACAATCAACTTTGTAATAGAATGATAAAAAGAAATTATTGATTGATTGCTAATTCTGTTATCCAAAGCTGTCTCTTGGTATTGGAAACCCATAAAAATAACCAAAGATGACTCTTCATTAGAATCCTCCTAATACCTATAAAATCACACTAAGAAAGTTTGAGTAATTAAGTGGTCAAGAATATTCTATTCATTTTCCTTTTTCTCATTTTCTTTTAGAACTGCTATTGGATGACCAGAATTCCCTGTAGTTGATAATGTTGGGAATAAGCTCTGCAACTTTCTTTGGCCTTCAGTTGTTAAAAACAAATAGGATGCAAATTCCTCAACTCCAGATTATGAAAACAGTACTTGGAAAACTGAAAACTACCTAAATGATCGTCTTTGGTTGGGCCGTGTTCTTAGCGAGCAGAAGCCTTGGCCAGGGTCTGCTGTTGACTCTCGAAGAGCACATAGCCCACTTCCTAGGAACTAGAGGTGCCACTGCTACCATGGGTAATTCCTGTATCTGCCGAGATGACAGTGGAACAGATGACAGTGTCGACACCCAGCAGCAACAGGCCGAGAACAGTGCAGTACCCACTGCTGACACAAGGAGCCAACCACGGGACCCTGTTCGGCCACCGAGGAGGGGCCGAGGACCACATGAGCCAAGGAGAAAGAAACAAAATGTGGATGGGCTAGTGTTGGACACACTGGCGGTAATACGGACTCTTGTAGATAAGTAAGTATCTGACTCACAGTCACCTCCAGTGGAATGAAAAGTGTTCTGCCAGGAACCATGACTTTAGGACTTCTTCAGTTCCTTTAGGACATACTCGCCAAGCCTTGTGCTCACAGGGCAAAGGAGAATATTTTAATTCTCCTCTGATGGCAGAGTAAATGAGATTTGATGTTTTTGCTTGCTGTCATCTACTCTGTCTGGAAATGTCTAAATGTTTCTGTAGCAGAAAACACTAATTAAAGCTATGATCTTTATTAGAGAATAGAATAAATATGGAGTGAGTTTATGTTGCTAGCTACAACAGGAAATGGTTTCATGTAGGCTCACTGTTAATGGTACATGCCTGTCTATTCTACTGACCTCAGATTCAAGATAAGCTGTTTTACCGAGAACATGGCTACAGGCAACTTCTCTTGGCAACATAAGGACCAAGGTCAGGGAGAGTTTTCATTATCGTTTATTTGATCCTTTATTTATCCCTTATTTGACTATCTTTAATCCATTTAGGAAGCTTGTCAGTTTGCAAGGCACACCTGTACCTGTTTTGTCTTTTCCTCTGCTTTGTCTACCTCTAAATACAAAATCCCAGATTGAGTAACAGTGAAATTAAAGGGCATCATTCAAGTGGAAAAAACATTTAACTTAAAGTTGTATAGTTCAGTAGTTAAGAGCACAAAGCTTAGAACCATGATGGGCCTGGCTCAACTGCATGACATTGGGTAAGTTACTTCTTGAAGCCTCAGATTCCTCATCTGTAAATGGGGACATAATACTGTTCCCACAAAGATTATCATGAGATAATGTACATAAGGCTTTTAGTGTGGAGCTTTGTACTTAACAGTTGCTCAGTAGATGGTAGTATTTTTTAAAAAGTTACTTAGGTGTTCTTTTTGCTTCAGGCCCTGCTAGTAAATTTAAGTATATAAACATTTGATAATCACGTTTATGGAAACCTAGTTTCGTTTAGTTCCTCAAAAATTAAGCATAAAACAGAGTGTATCTGTGAATACAAATGCATTTTTAGAGCTGTATTAAACTTTTCCATAAAATACTGGAGCATTTGTTAGTCTTCTAGAAGAGTAATTTTTTGGCCAGACACAATGCCTCCTACCTCTAATCCCAACACTTTGAGAGGCTGAGGTAGAAAGATAGCTGGAGGCCAGGAGTTCAAGACCAGCCTGGGCAACATAGGGAGACCCCCATCTCTACAAAAAAATTTAAAAATTATCCAGGTACAGTGGCGCGTGCCTGTGGTCCCAGCTACTCAGGACTCTAAGACCAGAGTACCGCTAGTGTCCAGGAGTTTCCAGCTGCAGTGAGCTATGATCACACCACTGCACTCCAGCCTGGGCAATAGAGCAAGACCCTGCCTCAAAAATTAATTTAAAAAATTTTTTTAAATCTCTTTTACCAAATTGTAATAAAAGTTTTCCTTCCCAAATCAGGAAGTAAACCACAAGCAAAGTTAATTTAAGCTCATTGGAAAAATGGGTGCAGAATAAACTTGGAGAGAGTGAGTTTTTTTGTTTTGTTTTGTTTTGTTTTTAAAGAGACAGGGTCTTACTCTGTCACCCAGGCTGGGGTACAGTGGCATGATCATGACTCTCTGCAGCCTCAGCCTCCCAGACTCAAATAGTCATCCCACCTCAGCCTCCTAAGTAGCTTGGACTACAGGTATGTGCTACTGCACCTGGCTAATTTTTTTTAAAGTTTTTGTAGAGCCAGGTCTTGCCATGTTGCCCAGGCTGGTCTCAGATACCTGGACTCAAGCGATCATCCAGCCTCAGCCTCCCAAAGTGCTGGGATTGCAGATGTGGGCCCCCATGCTTGGCCCCTTGCAATGTTTTAAAAGACAGTAATGTAGTTATACAAACCTCTTTGTTTTTAACTTCTTTCAACATTGAAATCTATCTTGCTGTATATAAATCTACAACTGCTTATGACTATTACAGAGTATTCCCTTGTATGCCTGAAAGTATTATATTTTGTTACATTTTCATCTGGTGGTGGTCATTTAGGTTACTGCCAAATTTTTGTTCCTACAAATAGCACTGGAGTGAACAGCACAAATACGCATCAGTTTTTGGACCTGTGTAAAAATTTATCTAGAAGTGTTGGATATATGCATACTTAATTTTGTTATTGCCAGATCATTCTTCAGAAATGTTTGCATCAGTCAATTATATTGTTTAAACAGGCAGCACCTAGTGAGTACCTGAAATTACCATACTAATTCCCATATCACGAGGTTATTCTCAGGATTAAATGACTTAAGATGATAGTTTTTTAGGCTTTTTTTTTTTTCCCACAGTAAAACAGAGACCCACAATGTGTAAACAAATAAGTGGTGAGTTCTTAAGCAGTTAGAATTGTTTAATGGAAAACATTTCATTATTGAAGTTCCCCTGAAGGACTTTTTAAAGATTTCTGGGATCACACCACTGAATTAAGGTGTAGAATGCCACTTTGGATCAATGTCTAGAATGTTAAATAGCTCCTTAAGTTTGGTTTTGTTTTCTTGTAATACCATTTTATGAAGTATAAGCATGTAGTATTTCCAGAGGAAAACTTCAAAATGAAGATGTGTATATAGGCCCTTGCTTCCATAAGTCCTCAACCGGGATTATCATCTCTCTTCCTGGCATTTCTCTGAGGTAAGTATAAAGATGATGTTGACCTTCCTGGCTTGTCTCAGTTGGCACTGGGCCTCTGAGTGTAAAGCTGAAAGTAGGCTGTGGTCTCCAGTTTAGTCCTGTGCTTTTACCCCAGGACACATAGTAGTCCTTGTCTGTACCCACCTGCCCATTTTGTCTGTAGGTCATTGTGGACAATGACTGGAAATTAGCACATATGGTATACATTCATCCTTACAGGTCATAGCTCAGGTTGTCTCTTCTATCTCTTTCCTTACATTTGTGTTCATTTCTTCTGTCCCTTTTTACCTCCACACCTCCAGTTTGAATTTTTATTTGGAATTGTCATTTATTTCCTCAGGTTTAATGCCTTGAATTTTTTTTTTTTTTTTTTCAGTGATCAGGAACCTCCCTATTCAATGATTACATTACATGAAATGGCAGAAACAGGTATTTTTAGTTTTGTTTTTATTACTTTGTAATGAATATATAATAATGAAGAAAAGTAGCCACCTTTTGTTTTCTGTATTGTTTTGAGATAAAAGACTCCAAAAAGACAGCATACATAACAATGAAAAAAGCCCTTACTGTATGGAAATTTCCCTGAATAGGTATAATAGGCAATGTGCGTAATGGCATTGCCCGGCCTATATTTTTAAAAGAGAAAATTTAAAAATCTTCCAGTATGCCAAAAAGAAAAAAAAAAACCAAACCCTAGAATTTTACATTTCCATCTAAATAAGAA